AACTAGATGGGTGACCGCTGAGGAATACCAGGTACTGTAAGCTTGGATATAAAGATGATGCAAAGGCTTTACGGTCACATCATGCTGAAACACTGGTTCCTGTACGATCACGGAAGTAGAGCAACATCGAGCCTAGTCAGTAACTAGATGGGTGACCGCTGAGGAATACCAGGTACTGTAAGCTTGGATATAAAGATGATGCAAAGGCTTTACGGTCACATCATGCTGAAACACTGGTTCCTCTACGATCACGGAAGTAGAGCAACATCGAGCCTAGTCAGTAACTAGATGGGTGACCGCTGAGGAATACCAGGTACTGTAAGCTTGGATATAAAGATGATGCAAAGGCTTTACGGTCACATCATGCTGAAACACTGGTTCCTGTACGATCACGGAAGTAGAGCAACATCGAGCCTAGTCAGTAACTAGATGGGTGACCGCTGAGGAATACCAGGTACTGTAAGCTTGGATATAAAGATGACATTACGATCACATCATGCTGAAACACTGGTTCCTGTACGATCACGGAAGTAGAGCAACATCGAGCCTAGTCAGTAACTAGATGGGTGACCGCTGAGGAATACCAGGTACTGTAAGCTTGATATAAAGATGATGCAAAGGCTTTACCGTCACATCATGCTGAAACACTGGTTCCTGTACGATCACGGAAGTAGAGCAACATCGAGCCTAGATATAAAATGAAATTAATCAGTAACTAGATGGGTGACCGCTGAGGAATACCAGGTACTGTAAGCTTGGATATAAAGATGACTTGGATATAAACATTACGATCACATCATGCTGAAACACTGGTTCCTGTACGATCACGGAAGTTGAGCAACATCGAGCCTAGTCAGTAACTAGATGGGTGACCGCTGAGGAATACCAGGTACTGTAAGCTTGGATATAAAGATGATGCAAAGGCTTTCACATCATGCTGAAACACTGGTTCCTGTACGATCACGGAAGTAGAGCAACATCGAGCCTAGTCAGTAACTAGATGGGTGACCGCTGAGGAATACCAGGTACTGTAAGCTTGGATATAAAAGATGAGGCTTTACCGTCACATCACTGGCTGAAACACGGAAGTGGTTCTAGATGGGTGACGATACCACGGATATAAAATGATTGAGCAACATCGAGCAACATAGTCAGTAACTAGATGGGTGACCGCTGAGGAATACCAGGTACTGTAAGCTTGGATATAAAGATGATGCAAAGGCTTTACCGTCACATCATGCTGAAACACTGGTTCCTGTACGATCACGGAAGTAGAGCAACATCGAGCCTAGTCAGTAACTAGATGGGTGACCGCTGAGGAATACCAGGTACTGTAAGCTTGGATATAAAGATGACAAACATTACGGTCACATCATGCTGAAACACTGGTTCCTGTACGATCACGGAAGTAGAGCAACATCGAGCCTAGTCAGTAACTAGATGGGTGACCGCTGAGGAATACCAGGTACTGTAAGCTTGGATATAAAGATGATGCAAAGGCTTTACCGTCACATCATGCTGAAACACTGGTTCCTGTACGATCACGGAAGTAGAGCAACATCGAGCCTAGTCAGTAACTAGATGGGTGACCGCTGAGGAATACCAGGTACTGTAAGCTTGGATATAAAAGATGATGATCACATCATGCTGAAACACTGGTTCTGTACGATCACATCATGCTGAAACATTGGTTCCTGCTTTACGATCACGGAAGTTGAGCAACATCGAGCCTAGTCAGTAACTAGATGGGTGACCGCTGAGGAATACCAGGTACTGTAAGCTTGGATATAAAGATGATGCAAAGGCTTTACCGTCACATCATGCTGAAACACTGGTTCCTGTACGATCACGGAAGTAGAGCAACATCGAGCCTAGTCAGTAACTAGATGGGTGACCGCTGAGGAATACCAGGTACTGTAAGCTTGGATATGACAAAGATCATGCTGAAACACTGGTTCCTTTCACGGAAGTAGAGCAACATCGAGCCATGTAACTGACCGCTGAGGAAACACTGGATATAAAGATGACACATACGATCATCGGAAACATTGGTTAGAGCACGATCATCGAGCCTAGTCAGTAACTAGATGGGTGACCGCTGAGGAATACCAGGTACTGTAAGGAATGACAAAGGCTTTAGTCACATCACTGCTGAAACACTGGTTCAGTAAACTAGATGTGACGATGGATATAAAGTAATGATGCAAAGGTACTGTAAGCTTGATATTACCGTCACATCATGCTGAAACACTGGTTCCTGTACGATCACGGAAGTAGAGCAACATCGAGCCTAGTCAGTAACTAGATGGGTGACCGCTGAGGAATACCAGGTACTGTAAGCTTGGATATAAAAGATGATGCAAAGGCTTTACCGTCACATCATGCTGAAACATTGGTTCCTGTAACTAGATCACGGAAGTAAAGATGAGCAACATCGAGCCTAGTCAGTAACTAGATGGGTGACCGCTGAGGAATACCAGGTACTGTAAGCTTGGATATAAAGATGATGCAAAGGCTTTACCGTCACATCATGCTGAAACACTGGTTCCTGTACGATCACGGAAGTAGAGCAACATCGAGCCTAGTCAGTAACTAGATGGGTGACCGCTGAGGAATACCAGGTACTGTAAGCTTGGATATAAAGATGATGCAAAGGTTTTACTGTCACATCATGCTGAAACACTGGTTCCTGTACGATCACGGAAGTTGAGCATCATCGAGCCTAGTCAGTAACTAGATGGGTGACCGCTGAGGAATACCAGGTACTGTAAGCTTGGATATAAAGATGATGCAAAGGCTTTACGTTCACATCATGCTGAAACACTGGTTCCTGTACGATCACGGAAGTTGAGCAACATCGAGCCTAGTCAGTAACTAGATGGGTGACCGCTGAGGAATACCAGGTACTGTAAGCTTGGATATAAAGATGATGCAAAGGCTTTACCGTCACATCATGCTGAAACACTGGTTCCTGTACGATCACGGAAGTAGAGCAACATCGAGCCTAGTCAGTAACTAGATGGGTGACCGCTGAGGAATACCAGGTACTGTAAGCTTGGATATAAAGATGACACATTACGATCACATCATGCTGAAACACTGGTTCCTGTACGATCACGGAAGTAGAGCAACATCGAGCCTAGTCAGTAACTAGATGGGTGACCGCTGAGGAATACCAGGTACTGTAAGCTTGGATATAAAGATGACAAAGGCTTTAGATCACATGCTGAAACATTGGTTCCTGTACGATCACGGAAGTTGAGCAACATCGAGCCTAGTCAGTAACTAGATGGGTGACCGCTGAGGGAATACCAGGTACTGTAAGTTGGATATAAAGATGATGCAAAGGCTTTACGGTCACATCATGCTGAAACACTGGTTCCTGTACGATCACGGAAGTAGAGCAACATCGAGCCTAGTCAGTAACTAGATGGGTGACCGCTGAGGAATACCAGGTACTGTAAGCTTGGATATAAAGATGACACATTACGATCACATCATGCTGAAACATTGGTTCCTGTACGATCACGGAAGTTGAGCAACATCGAGCCTAGTCAGTAACTAGATGGGTGACCGCTGAGGAATACCAGGTACTGTAAGCTTGGATATAAAGATGATGCAAAGGCTTTACCGTCACATCATGCTGAAACACTGGTTCCTGTACGATCACGGAAGTAGAGCAACATCGAGCCTAGTCAGTAACTCGATGATGACATGGGTGACCGCTGAGGAATACCAGGTACTGTAAGCTTGGATATAAAGATGACACATTACGATCACATCATGCTGAAACATTGGTTCCTGTACGATCACGGAAGTTGAGCAACATCGAGCCTAGTCAGTAACTAGATGGGTGACCGCTGAGGAATACCAGGTACTGTAAGCTTGGATATAAAGATGATGCAAAGGCTTTACGATCACATCATGCTGAAACACTGGTTCCTGTACGATCATGAGCAACATCGAGCCTAGTCAGTAACTAGATGGGTGACCGCTGAGGAATACCAGGTACTGTAAGCTTGGATATAAAGATTTTACCGTCACATCATGCTGAAACATTGGTTCCGGATCACGGAAGTTGAGCAACATCGAGCCTAGTCAGTAACTAGATGGGTGACCGCTGAGGAATACCAGGTACTGTAAGCTTGGATATAAAGATGATGCAAAGGCTTTACCGTCACATCATGCTGAAACACTGGTTCCTGTACGATCACGGAAGTAGAGCAACATCGAGCCTAGTCAGTAACTAGATGGGTGACCGCTGAGGAATACCAGGTACTGTAAGCTTGGATATAAAGATGATGCAAAGGCTTTACCGTCACATCATGCTGAAACACTGGTTCCTGTACGATCACGGAAGTAGAGCAACATCGAGCCTAGTCAGTAACTAGATGGGTGACCGCTGAGGAATACCAGGTACTGTAAGCTTGGATATAAAGATGACACATTACGATCACATCATGCTGAAACATTGGTTCCTGTACGATCACGGAAGTTGAGCAACATCGAGCCTAGTCAGTAACTAGATGGGTGACCGCTGAGGAATACCAGGTACTGTAAGCTTGGATATAAAGATGATGCAAAAGTTTTACCGTCACATCATGCTGAAACACTGGTTCCTGTACGATCACGGAAGTTGAGCAACATCGAACTTAGTCAGTAACTACATGGGTGACCGCTGAGGAATACCAGGTACTGTAAGCTTGGATATAAAGATGACACATTACGATCACATCATGCTGAAACATTGGTTCCTGTACGATCACGGAAGTTGAGCAACATCGAGCCTAGTCAGTAACTAGATGGGTGACCGCTGAGGAATAACAGGTACTGTAAGCTTGGATATAAAGATGATGCAAAGGCTTTACCGTCACATCATGCTGAAACACTGGTTCCTGTACGATCACGGAAGTTGAGCAACATCGAGCCTAGTCAGTAACTAGATGGATGACCGCTGAGGAATACCAGGTACTGTAAGCTTGGATATAAAGATGACACATTACGGTCACATCATGCTGAAACACCGGTTCCTGTACGATCCCCGAAGTTAAGTAACATCGAGCCTCGTCAGTACCAAGATGGGTGACAATTAGAGAAGGCCAGGGCCTTGGATGTGCGCTTTGAATGAAGGGTTTACGTCACATCATTGAAACGTTTGAAGATCCTATTCCATGGATGACGATCACCAAAGATATAAAAGACACATTACAACATCGAGCCTGGTCCGAAGTTAAGGTGCCTTGTACCAAGATTGGGGAACAGGGCCTTGGATGTGTGCGCTTTGAAGCTGGTTTACGTAAGTTTGCCGATGAGCGATTGAGCCTGGTGCAATAATAATAGTAAATGTTTGCTGAAGACATTAAGTTTATAAATCCCACAAATATCCTTAAGGACACATAGCACAGTGGATAAAAGCGTTGGTTAGATCCAATGATAGGACCCAAAGAATTGTGAGTTCAATACCCGCTTAAGGTAGTGGAGAACTTGGAGAGGTGAATTAACAGGAGATAACTGACATCCATTAGATATGGCACGTGGAACTAGAACAGTCTACCCCCAGCGAGCGAAATAAAGGGTTCAGTTCGACATATCTAACCACCTGAAGAAGGACGAAACATTGTGGTAAATATGGCAACAAAGACAATATTCCGAAGAATGTAAATAGTCTACATAATACCTCATCTCAGAAATATAGAGAGAAACTCATAATTAGATTGAAATTTGCCCTTGGGATTTTGATTGAAGCTCGAATTTTCACCGAAGAATAATGATTGGAAAATGATATGGACGGATAGTCGTTGGAGAAGAAGGATGATGGATGTTGATTGAAGACCGCTGATGAAATTAATTTTATCTAAGATCGTTAAGCGCCGGATTTTTCATCGCAGAGTGATATACTTGAAGTTTGACAAAGTCGTATTTTGATCGAAGTATGAGGAGGACGAATTTCGATCGAGGATGGGGGCTTGATTCTGATCGTAGCTGGAGCTGGATTTGAAAATAAATATGATGGAGAAGTATTTTGATCGAGGTGTGATGCAGCCGGATTTCGATAGAAGAGTAATGGAGCCAGATTTTGGTCGAAGAATAATGGAGCCAGATTTTGGTCGAAGAGTAATGGAGCCAGATTTTGGTCGAAGAGTAATGGAACCAGATTTTAGTCGAAGCGTGATGGAGTCGGATTTCGATTGAAGAGAGATGGAGCCAAATTTTGGTCGAAGAGTAATAGAGCAGGATTCTGGTAAAAGATTGTTGCGTCAGATTTTGATAGAAAAGTAATGGAGACTGATTTTGGCAAAAGGGTGTTGGTGCCAAATTTTGGTCGTAAAGTAAGGGAGCCTGATTTTGATAGAAGTGTAATGGAGCCAGATTTTGATCGAAGAGTAATGGAGACTGATTTTGGTAAAAGATTTTGATTTTTGATTTTGGTGCCAAATTTTGAAAGAAGAGTAAGGGAGCCTGATTTTGATAGACATATATAGACAGAAACATTACTTAGTTCCACGAGACATTTGCTATTTCCATGGCAAATGATCTAATAAGGTACATATCATAGTTTTACCAGTTCTGCCTTTCGCGTCTAGAACCTCCATGCTTCGTACACTGGACTGAATTATCCATATTCCTTTCGAGTTTAGTAAGAAGTGAGTACCATTCGTACAAGAACCACTAACTTATGGACCAGACTCCAGAGAGGTTTTCTTGATTGCTATCCATTTTAGTTGTTGCTACTATTGGTACTCCTCAAGTTTTTGTTTCTGTTATTTAGTATGTTTTTGTGATCTTGTAGCGCCAGTCCAAAATGTTTAAAGAAGGATGAAATTTGCTAAGACTCGCCGGCTTTATTCGCCATTTTTTTATCATTGATCTTCGGGAGTGGAGATTTCATTACCGCCAACTTAACACGGGGCAACCGATATCGGCTGTCATAGTGTGGGAATTTCTTAGATCGGCTTTGAGTCGGAGTGATTTTGAAAGTTTCTCTATTTTTTTTTTAGTGATTTATTAGTTACAACAACCTATTTGGCAGATTGGTGTTTAATTTTGAAACTTTTCATCACACCAGAAATGGAAATTCTTAGTCAAAAAAGAAAAGATAAAACTACGTATGAAACCATTCCTTTCTATCTGACAAGTTTAGTCAAAGACGCAACATAAAATGTTGGCGTTGTGACGAAGGCTTTACGAGCAATGCAAAAGATCCATACGAAGTTTCGAGCAGTTATTAAGGAAGATTCTTAATAAATTCAGTTATTCGGTTTTAAAAAGTTACGTTTTAAAAATGATTCATAAAAAATTACTTTATTTGTTTTTAAAAAGGCGACGAAAAAATTCATAAATTGCATGTCGTTGAGTCGGCGGTGTTCAGTCGAATCAACATAGTCGACGGTGTTCAGCCGACTCAACACAGTCGGCAGTGCTCAGCCGACTCAACACAGTCGGCAGTGCTCAGCCGACTCAACACAGTCGACGATGTTCAGCCGACTCAACACTGTTGGTGGTGTTCAGTCGACTCAACACAGTGAGCGGTATCCAGTCGACTGAACATAGTCGGCGGTGTTCAGCCGACACAACCCTGTCGCTGGTGTTCAGTTGACTCAGCACAGTCGGTGGTGTTCAGTCGACTCAACACAGTGAGCGGTATCCAGTCGACTGAACATAGTCGGCAGTGTTCAGCCGACACAACCCTGTCGCTGGTGTTCAGTTGACTCAGCACAGTCGGCGGTCTTCAGTCGACTCCACACAGTCGACGGTGTTTAACAGACTCAACCCTGTCGGCAGTGCTCAGTCGACTCAACACAATCGGCGGTGTTCAGTCGACTCAACACTGTCGGCACTGTTGAGTCGATGTGATGATCCGTCCTGCACCCTTGAGCTTAGAAAGTAGTTGTATGCATCTGACAGCTTTGATATTTCTGAACGGATTTTACGCCATACGTGATATTCTTATGAAAGTCTTGATCTAACCGGGTTATTTAAGAACATAACTCGAGTTTTCAGATGGAGATTTTGGTTTCGTAGCAGTTTGCGTTGTTGGGCGAACCTAACTCTGCCACAGTCTATTCTATGCTTAATCTCTTTCCTTTCGTTTTTTTTTTTCTATACCTAATCCTAATCTGGACAGAGTACTGCGAGACAGGAGGTAACGGAGAAAAGAATACTGAGCTGTTACGTGACATCTGTCCTTCTTCACGGCAGCGAATTTTGGACGATTTCCTCAAAGATGAAGAAGAGACTCGAAGCTACGTGGCTCTACAGATGTATGATAAGATAAAAAAACACTGTTTCTTAAAAATTTGACGGTAAGTCCGACATTAAGAATCTTAGATGTATTGGCCAAGGGCACATTCCAAAAAGCTGGCCAGAGTATTACGAGACAGGAGAATATCTTTGGTAACAAAGAAAATAATACTGAACTGTTACGTTACATCAGTCCTTCTTTACGGCAGCGAATGTTGGACGATAGATGTGGTTCTACAGAAGGATGCTAAGATAAAACAAAAAAGCTTTCTCTCAAAAAATTTGACGGTAAGTGCGACACTGAGATCCGTAGATTTATTGGGATGGCCAAGAACACATTCCAAAAGCTGGGCAGATAATCCGCCACTCTCTCTCTCTCTTCTCCTTTTCTCTCTCTCTCTCTCTCTCTCTCTCTCTCTCTCTCTCTCTCCGGTGTTAACACTGTCGGCAGTGTTGAGTTGATGTGATGATCCGTCCTGCACCCTTGAACTCTCTCTCTCTCTCTCTCTCTCTCTCTCTCTCTCTGCGTCTCCCTAGTCAACTTTATTCTTCAAAAATTCAAATGCAAATTCTTAATTCCAGGTCTTTTATTGTCCTCTCTCCTTAATAGTATATTTTTCTCATATTGTCTGATACTTATAAGTTCTATGCTAACAGTTTCTTCGATCGCACTTCATATATATATATATATATATATATATATATATATATATATATATATAAATATGCTATAACATCACTACAAAAATAGCCATTTTGTTTCAACACTTCTTGTTGTCTTGTCAAGAGAATAAAGAAATTTAAAAAGTTCAAAGGCAAATCCCCTCAGTTGGGGATTCATTGTTACGCAAGCTACAATGAACAATATTCTGCAATCAACACCATCACTTGACAAGACACCAGAAGTGATGAAAGAAAATGGTTATTTTTTCTAGTGATTTTTGAATAACTATTATTTGCTCTACTCTGTATTGAGCACTCTTTTAACAATAATGTTTTTTGGGGATAGGAATTTTAATCCGTTTATTCCAAAAAAATATTACGAGCAATACATTTTAGAAAAAAATATTACCAGAAATGCATTTTTGAAAAAAAAAATGTCACCAGAAACAGATTTTTGAAAAACAAAATATTACCAGCAATAAAAATTTTATCGGCAGTAAATAATCCATCGAGGTTGGTATACCGTAAAACAAAACAAACCGAACCAAATCAAACAGCTCGTCGGACACAAGGTTTTTGCTGGAATTCTGCGAAATTTAAGTCGCACATCAACACGTAGAGGGTAATACATGTACTAATATATATATATATATATATATATATATATATATATATATATATATAGTTGGATTGATGAGTTTGTGACGACGATCACAAATAGCGTGAAACCCTGGGTCACAAATTCACATCTATCCAACCAAATATGTTAGCTCTATCACTGATATTGAGCGCTTTCTAATAAGTACCGCGCATATATAATATATAAATAATATATATATAAATGTCATATATATATATATATATATATATATATATATATTCTAAGTACGCATCTACGCGGACGACACTACAATTTACTCCTGCCTCAAAAACAAATCTAGTATCGCTGACAAAACTAACCTGGCCGTGCGTCTCGAAAAGGTCCTCCAATCAGTTGTGAACTGGAGCAGGAATTGGCTGGTCAACTTTAATGCTTCAAAAACAAAACTGCTCTCTATTAATCACCACAGAGATCCTTCCCTGCCCACCATTAGAATGTCTGACGCTCAACTTCTTTGCGGCTGCTCGGTCTTACATTGACTGCTGACCTGAGATGGAACAAATACATTCAGTCACTTGCCTCGTCCACCGCAAGGTAAG